CATAAGCTACATTCGTTAAGGTCGATATGACAACACAGGCGAGTTACGACAAAGAGGTGAAACGATTTCTGTGCAGAAAGGAGAGATCGCAGCCGAACTAAAGTTTACAGCATTTTGGTCTCCATACCTTCAATCGCACATATAAAAACCACGATGGTCGCAGTCTTCTTTCGATGTATAAAATGGTTCGACCAATTTTTCGCAATTTGGTTGTGTTGTCAGCAGTATCCTCTACCATGCTAACCATAATAAATTTCAGTGCCGACACGTTTCTAGATATTTTCCTGGCATCTTCAATATGCGTAATTATACCTCCCTTTATCCGCTCTCGATGATACGCCTTTGCTGTAGTATAAAATAGACTTGAGTTGTTTTATAGAAGGGGTGACAGATAGTAGAATGAAGCGTAAGTGGAGAAACGGTAGCGAAAGTTGGTCAGAGAATGAATTCCATATGGTCCTTTGACGAAGAGTAGTTTGGTGCTAAAACTGGCATGGCTCACTGAAGATGCCGGCGAAACGATGGAGAATGTAGCAAATCTACGGTTCAATGGCATAAATTGTCTTGACTACTCGGACAGAAGATGTAGTGATAGGCTATCCTCATCGAGGTTGACCTGGCAACGCGACCAGACCAATTCTACCTTTTTCACTTTTACCAATTTAAAAGATATCATTCTGCGGAATAAAAATGGGCTTTCATACGATTCGTGTCATCTCAAAACGGGCTGAAAAACCATATACATCTAATTGCTTGTTATACATAAGTAATTGAGTGACTGGTCTATGATTCGACGCTTATATGTCCTACTCCTTCCCGAGTTTTTTTGATACATGTGCGCACGCATAACTGCACTGAGTCGCGGATTAGATTGCTCTCTCTCTCTCTCATGCACTCACGCTCATACACATAAACACTCACAGAACCCTCGCATTAGCTGTACTATTTTTCGTATTTAAGGAGAGTTTCGAGACTACCATTAAATCAGTAATATGAGCATTATTCACCCTGTTTGTTTTAAGGTGATGAAGGACTGGTAGTAGAATTTTTCCACAATGATATG